GGGTGGGGGGGGGGGGGGGGGGGGGGGGGGGGGGCAACATGACGGATAGGCCTGCCAGGGCTTGCCTGTGATGACGTATGCGGGGCACTGCAGGGGGCATGGCGGGTGTGGGGGCAATCACCTGTTGCAGGCAGAAACCAGACAAACAGCCACTGGCGCACACACGTAGGCAAGCGAGGGAGGGAGACATATAACATTGTGTGTGGATGCTTGACGTGACGTGACGTCGGCATGGATGCAGTGCAGTGGGTGCGAGTGGTTACATACCTCGGTAAAGGTGCCCTGCCCCCACCATGCTATCTATGAGTCACTTGGGAGGCAGCGACACGATGATCTCGCTCAGCAACTCGGGGTAGGCCTCCAGACCTGACTTGCCCAACTCAGCCTGCAGACCAGACGTACACACACACACACGCACACAGGTCGTGTCGAGTGGGTCGAGCTGAGCTGCTGCCTGTGTGTGTGTCTGTGTGCCGTGCCGTGCCTGGAGCTGGTTGAAGTGTCTGATGAGGACCTTGATGCAGCCGGCCTTCAGGCGCTCGGCGCCATAGACATGCGCCATCCTGTCGGTGTGTCACGATACGATCACAGTGGTGCAGTGCCCGCCACACCAGGCCTGGCACCTCAGGTGCCCTGCCTGACCGGTAGAACTGCCCTGCCCTGCCCTGCGCACCTCATGTGTGCGATAACGTTGTCCACCTCCACGCGCTTCATGACGTACTCCTCAACCAAACGCGTCAGACGATCCATCCCGTACTCGTGAGACAACTGCATTGCATACCCATCATGGGCCCATTCTCCCTCTGTGTGTGTGTGCGTGTCTTCGCCTTGACCTGCCCAGCTAGCTGTACCTTGAGCAGTGGCTCAACGGTGTCCTGGTCTACGATGCACCTGTCGCTGTAGAGGAAACACAAAAACGCCGCGAACGCCTTGGGCGTCACACCCTCGTCGGCTATCGGCACCATGACGCCACCATGACCACCACCACCAACAGAGGAGATCTGGCTGGTGTGGCCACCGGCCGCTGGCGATGGACACACACACACACACGCACGCGCACACACACACACACAAAGGTGCACACCTATAGGTCCATTGTAGTGTGTGTGTGATTGCTACCCTTTTGGATGAGTGGCATGATCTTTGCGCATCTGCAGGCGAGGATGGCGCAGTGGGCACGCAGCTGGGTGCCATGGACGTCAAATGTCACGTCAGCGTAGGCCGCGTTGCCGGGGCTCTGGACGGACGCACGTAGGTATGACACACAGATAGATCCATATGCCTCCCCGGCCTTTCCGACGACCTCCTGTGTGAGTAGCTGTGCCATGTCGTCGTTGAGTGTGCTGTGTGTGGGAGGGAGGCTCTTGACCACCTTGACGGCCTTGAATGAGTGCTGGTCAGCCACAAACAGCACCCCTACACAACAAACACAACCACAACCACACACACACAGCGATATGGGTGTCCGAGCCGGGGTGTGGTGTGGTGTGTGATGCACCCACCCACCTGATGTGGAGTCTACTCGCAGTGCTACGGGATGGACGAGGCCGGTGGTGGGCAGCTCCACCACCTGGCCGTTGTGCGGGTCGTAGCGCAGGATCTGCCGGGCGTCCGTGTTGGCGACATACAACCTGCACCAACACATAACTGGTCGTGGTCGTGTGTGTGTGCGCGCGAGTACTTACCTTCCATGTTTGTCTACGTCGAGCCCCAAGGCCCCCCTGTAATGGCCCGGCAGTGTCAGCACCCTCGAGTAGTCGCGCGATATCTGACGCAACCGGCCTGACCCTGCACACAACACACACACTCACACGGACACACAAATGTGTTGGCGGACTGACCTATATCGCTGACATATATGGTGCCGTCAGGTGCCACAGCGATGGCGGTGGGCGTGTCGAGCAGCGCCTCGCTCGACGGACCGTCCTCACAACCTACACATCACATACCAACACACACACACACACACACGATGGCTGCTCTGTCTGTGTGTGGTTCGGTCTGCATGGGGCGTGGCGTATACACATAACATACCCTGTGTGCCCGGGACGCCGGCAATGAGCTTGGTGGTCGGCTGCTGGATCAGCACATCGGCGCGGCTCCCCCCCACCTCCACATTAGCCTCCTGACCCACCAACCCCAACACGGAATGGACCAATGGGTGGATGGATGGGTTAAGCCCGCCTGCACAGAGATTTTCTGACATACATACCGAGTCGACGGTCTGAGTGCGGTTGATATTGACATCTGCGCCACTGCCACTGTGTGAGTACGGTGTGATGTGCTGCCTGAACTTGTGGTTCTGCTGGACGGTGATGGTGTTGGCGGGGTCGTTGAGGGGCAGGCCGCTCGACAGCTGCACCTTCCGGATGACGTGCTGGGAGCGGTCGCACACCAGCAGGTCGCCGCTGCTGTCCATCGCGACTGATGGATGAATGGATGACACACACACACACACATGGATGGATGGATGTGTGTGTGTGTGTGTGTGTGTGTAGGTGGTCTGTACGCCCGAATGGCAGGTCCCAGTGTGCGACGGTGTTGGTGGTGCCGTCGCTCTCCTGGTGACCCGCCGTCATGTCGCCACTTATCATGTCAACTGGACCATCCATCCATCCATCCACACAAACCGCTCTGCTGCCAGCAGGCAGGCACAGAGTGTGTCGCCTTGCCTTGTCTTACCTTCGCCCGTGTCATGGTTGAGTCTGAAGATGCCGAACACCCCCGAGTCGGCTATGTAGGCGTTGCCCGTCCTCTCGCACACCACGATGCCCGTGGGGCTCTTGAAACCCTCAGCACTGGTCGCCAGAGTCGTCACCTGCCAGGCCAGACACACACATCCCATCACACCAACCCAACGCCCACGCCAGCCCGGCCCGGCCCACCACATTGCCGTTTGGCGTGATTTGTTTGATGCACGAGTTGTCAGTGTCCGCCACTACCAAACTGCCGTCCGGCGCAAAGCTGAACCCAAATGGTGAGTTGAACATCGCCTCGCCGCTGTGACCTGCACACACACACATCCATCCATCCATCCACACACACATACACGCCAGATAGACCTGCGTGATTCCCGCAGGATTCGTTGCCAGCGATGAGTGTGGTCTGGCCGGGCCTGCTGCAGAGGGCGTCGTCAAACCATCCAAGGTGGCTTGACGTGGCCGTGATCTCCTCCCTGCTATCGTCGGTACCATCACCAGTGTGGTTCAGAATCCGCCAAACTGACAGACAACGCATACGCCACGCGCGACAGATCTGTGTGCTCACTGTGCTAGGTGCGTGGAAAGTGTGGAGTACCATCAGACGACTCCAACGCCATCCGCGTCGCTTTGTGCTGCAACGCCGAGAGTAGGGGGGCCACACGGCGCGAAGAGATCTTGGCGGGGATGACGCGCGAGCTTGCGTAGATCTGCATGCGAGAGCGAAGAGCAAAATGGCTTCGTCCCGTGCGTCGCAGCCCGCCATGGTCATCGATACGACGAGTGGAAAGATCCTGAGGGTAACCATGACAGCTAACAGTGACGGCAAACAAGACTCTCTCTCTGTGAGAGCGGTCATCATGTGTGCGCTCTCGTGCCTTCAGAGGGATGGCAAGTTCGATGGCGACGCCGAGGCCGTGGCGGCGGCGGTGGGCAAAGTGGTGCGGAACACGGGAAGGATGATCAACAAGGCCGAAGCGCTTCACAGAGTCACTGGTGGGGTGAGAGATGACACACGATGCATGGCAGCAAAGAGGAGAGCGCAATTAACGCATCTGCGTGTGATGCGATGCGATGCAGTGACGTTTGAGAATGCCGAGTATGTGATTCTGCCGATATCGAAGGACGAAACGCGGGTCTTCAAGAAGGCATGACTGATGGACTGACTGACAAAAGCGACGAGCCGTGCGAGGATGAGGGACTTCTTTGTACAGCTGGATGCCCGCCTCGTTATTAATCGGTAGCTGCTACACAGTTCTGTGTTGTCGGTTTGTGTGGCGAGGCGAGGCGAACCTCGATGAAGGGCGGGGTGGGCGCGGCAACAGACACATACACACCCACTGATTGACGAGAGGAGAGATCGTGTGTGTACAGAGAGACAGACAGACAGACAGACAGACAGACAACCGGTGCGATGCATGCCATGCGCTTTAATGATGGCAGGCAGCTGTTGCCGGCTGGGTAACGTAATGTGGAGTTGGTGGCTCGGTTCGTTCCTGTCTGCCCCGCCTCCTTCAAAGTCGCGACACAAATCGTAGCACTGGGCCGTGTCATTGGCTTGTGTCGCGGACTGGTCAAGGTACGTGGAAGGGACGGATGAGATGAGTCAGTCCACCATGCCGACAATCACTCGGCCACTCATTCAGTCACTCACATGCACAGTCGCACGACACGCACACTCATCATCCACCCATTCCCCGTCATTAGGTCATGAGGTGGGTGACTCTAGCCGCCGTTTTGTTCGGGCTTGTCCTTGATGCTCTCCTTCTTGCCCTCCTTGTCCTTGTCCTTGTCCTTGCCTGCGGCGGCCGGCGCCTCCTCTGGGAAGGGCAGAAACTCCTCCCCACCCATATACGGTATCTGACGGACGGACGGAGGGAGGGAGGGAGGGAGGGAGGGAGACAAACACACACACGCAGCGTGCTGCATGTCGTCGTGCGAGGCGTGCTCCCTCCCCCACTGACTCACTGACTGACCAGCACTCTGGGCACCCTGACGCCCGTCGGTGTCTGGTAGTTCTCCAAAATGCAGCACATCGTCCTGGATGATGGACAGACAAACAAACGAACGAACGAAGGACCGACATTCAACTGATTGATGTCGAGGCATTATGCGCATGAGTTAGGCATCACCTACCCACCTTTGTGAGGCGACCAACGTGGCGTTGAGCATGTGACAGTACTTCTTCTCCCTCTCGCCGGACTTCTTCTGCCCGTGACGCACCTCCAACTGACGCGCCTGCACACACACAAACACACACACCTCTGTGTGGGTGTCTGCTGTCGATCCGATCCGTCTGTGTGTGCACCTGGCACTTCACCTGGTAGTCAGTACAGTTTGAGCATGAGACGAGCTCACGGTAGGTCTCGTAGCCAGGGAACCAGGCCTCGAGGTCGTACTTCTTGGCCGCGGCGTCGTTCAATGCACCGGACACGATGGCGATCACCTGACCACACAGACACAGACAGATATGTGTGTGTGGTGTGCAGGGTGTGCAGGGTGTGTAGGGTAGGGTACCTTACCTGGTAGGGGAGTTCGAGTGACTGGTAGAACTCCTCTGCGATGCCGATCATCTCCTCGTGCATCGCCCACGACTCCTCCTACACACACGACACGACACGACACGACACACATGACACGCACAAGTACAAAAGTGTGTGGGTGATGCTTATGGTGCTCATACGTACGGGTGAGGTGATGCAGAACTGCTCCACTTTCTCGAACTGATGCACGCGGAAGATGCCCCACATGTCCTTGCCTGCAGGCGTGGGTGGCAACCACAACACCAACAAACCAGCAGCTCTCAGACAAGACACACCCCACCCCATCCTCCTGCCCACCCAATGAGTGTCTCTCTGCCCATCCACCCACCCCCCACCCCACCTGATGAGCCGGCCTCCTTCCGGAAGCACGTCGACACACCTGCATACCTGCACACACACACACACCAACGAGGCTCGTGGACATCGATGGATCTGCACCTGGGGTAGGTATGGTGTATGTATGGTGTGTGTCGGTGCGGTGGATGAGGATGGGCGGGGTGTGGTGTGTGTGTACCTCTTTGGGCATTCGTCAGGCCGCAGCCAGTCGCCCCTGTGGAAGGCGCTGATGGGCTGCTCGGAGGTGGCGATGAGGAACATGTCGGGCGTGCCGTCGCTCTCCTTCTCGCCTGACTGCTTGCCGGGGATCTAACCACAGAGAGAGAGAGAGAGAGAGGGATGGGAGGGTGCACATGTGTTGATGTGTTTATCAAATTAAGGTGCCGCCACCCACCTCACCCCACCCTGTAAAGTGTCTCTTCGAAGTCTTTGAGTTCAGCCGTCTCGTTCATGACATCCTTCTTCATGAAGAAGGGCGGATACAGCGGCAGGTAGCCCTTCTTGATCAAAAACTGCACACCTGATCAGATCATTGCAATGCAATCAAAGCAATGGATGGGACGACACACACAGAGCCGAGGGAGCAGCAGGCTTGTGTTGTCGTGTGTGGTGTGGGTGTGGGTGTGCATGACGTGGCGGGGGTACCGTAGTTGATGAGAGCCATGTTGAGCATCACGCCTGCACCCCTCATGAAGTACCCACGGTGACCCGCACACAAAGCACCTCGCTCCGGCTCGTAACCTCAACACACACACACACTCACACACACAGATGCAGCCCAGCCATCACCGCAGCTCTCTGTTGTCATGTTTGTGTCAGTCATGTGTGCAATCGACCTCACTCACCGCACAGCTTAGCGAGCACTTGGTGGTGGTACAGCCTGCCGGGCGTCTTGCCATCAAACACCACTCGGCTGGGCACACCCCACCTGCGCACCACCTTCACACACACACACACACGGAGGGAGGGATGGGTGTGGTGTCTGCGGTTGGTGCGGGGCGCACCTGCCTCAACCTACCTGGTTGTTGTCTTCGTTGTCTGACACGGGGACCGAGGGGTGCACCAGGTTGCCAATCTTGTGCAGCAGGCTGTCGCGCTGCCCGGCAATCTACATAACATACATAGCCAGCCCAAAGAGATCATTAGAGCCATCCATGTGTGTGTGTGCTTGCGTCCTGCACTGCACTGCACTGACCACGTCGACTTTTTTCTCCTGTTCGGCGATGTTGGCCTTGACAGTGGCCACTTCCGCCATCTCGGCCTGACGGGATGCATCGCATCGCATCGCACACAACACCACCGCACGGACACACGGATGATTGTGACTTGAGTGCCTGCCCTGCCCTGCCAACCCCACCTCGCAGGGGTCGTCTTTGTTGTCCTTTTTCTTCTTGCCAATCGCCTTGTTAATGTCGTTCATCGTCTTCTTCATCGACTCCATCTACACACACACACACACACACACACACACACTTGTGCGCCCCTGTCTGTCTGTCTGTCTGTCTGTCTGTGTGTGTCACCTGGTAGAGCTCCTGCCGCCATGAGTTGTCTGTGGCGATGATGTCGTCGACGACCTTAGGGTCCCTGAAGCGCTTCCGCTCGCTCTCGCGCACCTCATCGGGGTTGCCGCCCTTGTCCTCTCGCAACCAGTTGATGTCAATCTGACACACACAATTCGCCGTAAGTGATGATGCACACACACACACACACACACGCGCAGAGGTATGAGAAGCGCACAGCGGATGCACACAGAGGCGGTGCGTGTGTGTGCGGCGTTGAGCCTCCGTCATTGCTTACGCCCATTGATTGCTGTGAGTCACTCAACAGCGCAGTCACGTGTGTGACTCAATTCGCCGCAATTCGCTGCAGACGCTGCCTTGCTGTGTCTTGCAGAGCCTGTTGCCCAACAGATCTGCCTTTCTCGCGACAAAACTCTGCCTCATCTGCGAGCTCATCTCGCAGGCGTCCTGGCGAACGGCAATGTCGTCATCTGGCGCAGCAGCCCCGGCATCGTCCGCCGGGGTTCATGGATCTGTCTTGCTGCCGTTCGGGGACGGCGCCCTGCTGCTGGTGTGGGCCTTCGTGCGCAGTTCGCCGCACTGGAGCTGCCCGGAGGTGCTGTGGTGGGAGGAGGCGGGCACCTATGTGGTCAAGGCCATCAGATTCGACGAGGAGACCTTCCAGGTGAAATGAGAGGAGGGGCAAACCAGCGACGGATGTCAGAGTGTGTGTGTGTGTGGTGTGTGCTGCCATTCCATTCCATTCCTTCAGGCGTGTTCGAGTGAGGTGCTGATACCTGTGGCCAACACGGATCACCTTTCGATCGACAGGTCAGTCAGGTCGGCATCAGACAAACTCAGAATGGATGGATGGATGGCCTGTGTTTGTCCCTCCCTCCCTCCCCGTCCCCTGTGTGTGTGTGTGCGTGTCTGTCAGGTGGACAGGTTTGGCCGAGGGCGGTTCGAGCGGCAAGTCGCTGGCATTCGTCGACCCTGAGGGGCAGGTCGTCTTCTACCGTACGCTACGCAGCCAACAACATGACACATGACACCACACACACTCGGCAGACACATACAGGGGCTGGTCTGATGTGGTTGTGCCTCTGTTTTGTGTGTGTCGCGTCCGTCGGTCAGGTCTGAGCGTGGTTTCGTCCCCGGCTGATGTGTGATGTGAAAGGCCATATATGTCTGGTCTGCATACATACCGGAGGGTGAGTTGAGTGAGGACACGCACTCGTGTGTGTGTGGTGGGGGGGAGGCCCACCCCGGCCCGTGATGCATCAAGATGGTGGGCCGCCAGCCAGCAGGCTGGGCGGCGCCTGAAGAGAGAGAGATGTCAGTGTGGAACCGATCCATCGAAGCTGCCTTCCTGCTGAGGCCGCGCACACAAAGACAAGACAGGCAGACAGGCAGACAGCTGCTTACATGCCCTGACTGATTCGTGTGCAGATGTGACACAGCCATGGCGCCATGGTATCTGTGTGTGTGTGTGTGTGTGTGTGCAGGTGAGGTGGCTGGGGGTCAGATCTATCTATGGGTTGGGGCGCGACGAAGAGACTACATTGCAAGCCAAGCCGGGTGGGTGCAGTCGCTGCAGTGACTGACTGCACTGCAGTGTGTGGTGGTGGTGGTGTACTGTATCTGTGATGGATTCCACATTCACTTATGTTACACCGACGTCCCCTGACGACGCAAAACGAGCTTTTTAAGACTGAGATAGATACCACACCACATACCACAACACACCACACACCTGCACAGATGGGCTCCTGACGGCTTCGTGTGTGTCCTGTGGATCCTTGCTGTCTGTGTGTGTGTGCGTGTGTGCAGGTGTGTCGACCATACCATCCACTCCACGGCAGCTGCTGTGTGTGTGCACACGAGGTGGGTGCGAAGCGACCACGGGCAGGCAGAGAGGGTGTGTGTGTGTCGTTGATGAGACCGTTACTTCTCCTTCCACTGATCGAATCGATCGGTTCGGTGATGGACACACAAACTAACATACGACTCGGACTGAGACACACACACACACACACACTTACTTCTGCCCATATGTGTGACGATGCACTGACAGCTGCGCGTACTCCTCTGGTGCGCTGTGTGTGCTGTCTTACCTGACTGACAGGCAACGGGCGTCAATCCCTCCGTGCGTGAGAGCCGAGAGCCGAGCCATCTCCTCTGTCTGTCTGTTTTATCGACACACATCAACGCAGCCTGGTACTCACACACACACCACCAGGAGGTCAGGCAGGCAGGCAGGTGTGTGTGCGTGCGTGAGTGTGTGGGGGTCGGTCCCTCCGGTCCAGTGATGATATCGTTTATCTGTCAATCCTCTGTCGGGCCCGCGAGGCCCTGTGGAGATATCACATCCTCGTTGAAGTCTGACGGACCAGCCAGCCAGCCAGGCCTCGTTCGTGTCTGTCTTTCTGTCTGCCTGGACTGGTCTTCCGATAATGTATGTTGGTATATGTGTGTGTTATGTGTGTGTGGACTGATTGGATGTGTATCGAAGCCACCCCATCGTCCTGTTTTGTTGGGGTAGTTCAAAGCCCATCCTACAGCGAACTGAATAGATTGCCCTCGGGTGGCGCCACCCTTTTCTCAATAAGGGGCGCGTCAATCACAGGGGCAGACAGGACACACTCAGACAGTCAGACAGATAGACAGTCAGTGAGTCAGACAGACAAGAGCGTGTGCATGGCTGTGCCCATGGTTGGGGTGGGTGTGCTTCGCGCCACACGTAGGGAGGGTATGGATGCCCCGTCTTTGTCTGTCTGTCTGTCTGCATGTGTGTGTGTGTGTATGTGTGCAGGAATGTATACGCAGGCAGATGGAGTCTGAAGGTCCTCAAGCAAGCTTATGTCATGCATGGATTTAGTTGCGTGAGTTTCGTCGAGACTGGCTGGCTGGCCTGGATTGGATGAGTGGAGTGGGAGTGGTCGAGATGGATGCGGGATGCATTGACAGACAGATGAGATGAACGAGAGGAAGGACACTCACAAAGGTAGCTTATCTGTCTGTCATCCTCCTTACCCACCCAATCCAACTCGATGACCGACACACAGACAGCCATACATGCCATGCATCGCATGCCAGCACGCACACACACATGTCAATGTCGCCACACAACACACGACACACAGCCACTGCGGCACACGCGCATACACATCTTAACACAACACGGCAACGAGGCAACGCGGCAGAAAGATCCACACCCAACAAGCGTTAACCGACAGGCAGGTGTGGAAAACTTGGGTGGGCTGAGAGGAAGAGCTGGCAGTCACCAGCAGTCTCCGTCCGTCGCTCATGCGTGTGTGGGTGTGCAAGGGTCGCCATCCATTGGTTAATGAATGTAATGAGAGCGAGTGGCATCTCATGTATGTATGTGACCATGAAGGTAACAGACGAGCGCCAGAGACACAGAGAGAGAGAGAAATGTGAGAAAGTGGGACCGGACGAGGAGAGAGAGCAGTGACATCGCACACCGACACACACACAGCCCGTGTCACTCGTTCATGATAAAAATTGCCCCCATCAATTTGTGTGTGTCCATCTCAGGCTAACTCGTCTGCATGGCAACCATGCGCTCCGCAGCAGCAATCCGATCAGCTTTGCTTCCATCTCAGTGGAAGCATCACTGATGGGGCTGCCACTGGGAAGCGAACGACCGCCACGCACGAACGCCAATCAGCACACCAGGAGATGCCAATCCATCCGTAGTGGACAAGCGAAGCGAGCAGCACCTCTCGTCCTTTCAAACATATCTACAGGCTGAGTGAGGCTATCCTATCCCGCAGCAACACGATGACCGACCAACACATGAATCCCCTGCCCCTGCCTGTGTGATGTGATGCACACCAGCGTCCCTTGTTCAACATTCATTATGATACACAAACCCAAACACAGCACAAGACAGGACAAGACAACACAGCACAGCACAGCACAGCACCCAGACGATCCATTCGTCCTGAAGGCCCGCCCGCACACATCGACGAGCCCCACACACGAAAAAGATCTCGCCGTCATTGCCCAAATGTGTCACGCACAGGTGTGGACACCACAACCCACCGCAGTGCCAAACCACAGACCCCAGGCGGCCAGAGAGATGTGGCCATACCAACAGACGAAAAATGCCACCTCCCTCCTGCCCCTCCGTCATGATTGCCTCCTGCCCACCAGCTCCCTCAGGCGCCGCGTCAGGCTCGTGGCGTCCCCCTTGCCTCCCCGCACCGGGATGGGCAGCGGCGTCAGCTTGAATGTGTCGCAGATCTTGCCCTCAACCGTCCGAATGCTCGCGTCCGATATCGAGAAGCCCTCATTGGCAAAGACTTGGGTCAATGTCGCCACCACGCCCCTTTTGTCGGGCCCCCTCACCGTGCACCTGACAGACTTGCCGCCATCCTCCACCTGCACGTCCAAGTCGACCCCCTCCAGCTGCTCCACCGGCAGCCCGTCTCCGCCCTCCTCCTCTCCGGTGGTGGGGGGAACCTCGCCATTAAGCGTGAAGGCCGTCGCCTGCTGCACCAGCTCGGGGTGGGGGTGGCCGTTGGCCTTGGTGGCGTCTTTGCTGCTGTCCTGCTGGCCGCTTGCAGATGGGGGAGGGGAGGGGGAGGGGGCGGGGGCGGCAGCTGGCGACTGTGGCGGAGGCGATGAGGGTGTGGCTTCCTGAGGGCGCGGTTGAGGCTCCTGTGTGCTGGTGCGGAAGACTTGTGCTGAGGTTGACGGGATGAGGTGTTGGGGGGCAGTCCACGTTGGAGGAATCGACTCCTGTAAAACGAAGCAGGCAGGCAGGAGAATACATGGATGAATGGATGGATGGACAGGCGCACGTCCCTGTATGCGTACCTGCACTTCTCCGATCCTATGGAGGAATAGGAAAGCATCCGTCCCCCACTTGGGCATCGACACCACATTTAAGGAGCCCCCGAGGTACTGCGCGTAGAGCCTCGAGAGAGGGAGACCGCAGCCAAATCCAGCCAGCGGTGATGGCGGCCGCGACCCGCCGGCAGGACCCGCTGTAGCTCCTGATGGCGCCGGGGTGAAGGGGAGGGCGCCACTACTGATGGATGATGTCAGACACAAGCAGATATGGGTCGATCTGCGTGTTGGTTCTTGTTGTCTTACGTAATGGCTTTTGGCTCAGACGCGGCCGCCTGGCTCTCTCTGAGCCGTTCCGCAGCAGTCATCTTGCCCTCGCCGCCATTGCCTTGTTCGTTGGGCGGAGTGCGTGGTGGTGGTGGCTCCTCGAGGCCTGCGGTGAGTGCCGCCCATGGGTCGCTGGGGTTGAGGGTGGCCGTACTGTAGAGATACGACCAGATCTTCTCCTGCGCCGCTGGGTCGATACCTCCACCCTCGTCAGAGATCTTGATCGCTACCTGGTGTGTGGGTGGGACACACACAACAAAACGAAACGGTACACGTGTGGTAGGTACTCTGCCCTGGGTTTGTGTAGCCTGGGGGCGCACCTGTTCGTTATCTCCGGCGACGACGACCTGTACCGGCGGCAGGTGCATCTCCTTCTCGTCGAGAGATCCGCCCCAGCCGCCCTGCCCCTCCAGCCCACCGCCAGAGGCCACCGAGAGCGGCATGCCCAGGCTGTCGTCATAGTCGATGTCGAGGGAGGCCTTGTCGCTGTTTCGGTCCTCGCCCTTCAGGGACGCCAGCACACGCTCCCGCCGCCGGGCGTTGAGGGCGGTCTCCACAACGGCACGCATGGAATTTTTGGCGAGCTCAAACAAGATGTAATAGAGGTACTGACACGGGACACCCCCAACACACCATGACATGTCATGACGTGTGCGCGAAGACAGAGGGTGCGGTGCGGTGCGTGTGTGGGTGGGGTGGGTACCTACCTACCTGCGATATGTATGTGAATTGTATGGCCGTGCCCTGGTTCCAGATGCGGACACTCGGGCAGATGCCATAGTGGGACCTGCACAGCATCTCGGCGTCCTGCGCAGCCTTCCATATGATGGGAATCGGGTCGCACGACTTGTCGATGATGCCTGCCAATTGAATTGCACCATAGACACACAGATGGACGAGTGTGGGAGTTTGGGAGAGTTGGATGTTCAGGTAGGCAGCGTGCATACCATACCGGCTCGGTGTCCCCTGCAGACGGCAATGTAGTGGCTCGACAGCATCTCGGTGCCGATGCGAGAGAGGAAGAACGTGTTGAGGAACGTGTCCACGTAGGGAGCAGTCAGCCTGACACACGCAGTACACAAACACAGCTGACGGTGGGTGGACTGATGGTTGGGTGGTTACTCCTGGCTGGCTGGCTGCCTACGTGGAGTCTCTGTTCCTGAGCTGCCGTATGCCCATAACGAGCTGTGGCACCACATGCGAGTGACGCTTCTTGACCGACTGAATCACCCTGAATGACGCATGGACAACAGGCGCATATACATGAGCATCCTCCCCATAGCTCCCTCCGTCGCTCCCTTTCCTCTCACCTGGTGAATTCCCTCTCGTCTTCCCAGTTGGACATCCTCAGCTGCTTGAAGCTCTCGCTGTATGTGCTCTTCACCCTCATCAACAACGGGATGTCCTGATAGCCCTGCAGGCTCTCCAGCTGCTTCAGCCGCGCGGCAAACCGCACCGGTAGCTCCTCGTGGATGAAGCGCGCGGTATCCCTCGGAGTGTTGAGGGCGAGGATGTCCCGCAGCGACACCGATACCTGCTTCTTGAAGGCGAAGTGGGTGATCTCCGAGTCCAGCAGCTGATCCAACCTCTCCTTCGATAACGTGACGGAAGGTGCGGATAATGCGGCTGACGGGGGAATACTGGGCAGAGGGATGCTAGATGAGGTATCTGGAGGGGGAGCGGGCGCTTGGGATGGCCTCGCGGGCATGGAGAACCCCGGCAGCGGACTTGAAATGGCATGAGAGGGCTGAGGGGTTGACGATGCAGATGCAGCAGCGCTCGAGAGGTGCCGTGCTCCTCCCTTGGCTACTCGCTGGGCGGCCTGCCTCACGCAGTCGGCCACTGGCCTTATCGACATCCTCGCGTCGCCGATCACGCGCGCTGGAACCAACGCTATGCTAAGTCCTCGGACCTGTATAGCGAGCAGCCCAGGGAGCCAAGCAGGGGGAAGGAGAGGCAGTCGCCCTTTTTGCGAGCTTTGAAGTCCCAAGGCTTAGCGCGCAACCGTTTTGTCGTCGAATTCGTCCGCGACGATGGCGTTCCTTGTTCGGTCACCATCACAGCGGTATGGGTGTTTCAAGCTCTACAATGTGCTCAAGGTTTTGCAATCAGCCAGAAAGTAAGTTCATTGGGCTGGGGCTCTTCCTGCCTCTCCTCCCCCTCACTGTCCTTGTTTTGGCAGATTGCGTGACCGTGACTTCCTCAACGATATGTTCGACCAGATTGATGAAGACGACAATGGTTTCATCGACGAGAATGAGCTCCACGAAGCAGTCAACAAGTCAGTCATCGCAGACCCAGAGAGAGAGGGAGACAGTTCGAACAAAGGCAGAATACGCGGTTGCTTTTCTTCTTTCCTGGTGTCTCTCATGCCTGCAGGTATCTGGAGGTCGATATGGAGCTGGACGAAGTAAATGTTTTGTTGCGACAAATCGACAAGGACCAGAACGGCAGAATCGAAAGAGAGGAGTTCATTGACTTCTGCAACCGGATATCCACACGAGAACAGCTACAACGCCTCGTCAAGACACAGCGCGACCTTATCAAGTCCCAGAACTTCATCAACCACCTCTTCAGCCAGTTCGACGCAGACGACTCGGGCACAATCGACGGCCAAGGTCCATCATAATGGAAGAGCTGCCACTCCCTTTCCTGCGTATCCCCTATCCATCCTGTAGAGCTGCAGTACGCGGTGCAGTCTTTGGGTCTGTCTCTGTCTGCCGTCGAGATCCGTCGGCTGCTCAAACGCATCGACAGGGACGGCAATGGGGCGATTGAAGTCGAGGAATTTCGCCAGTTCGCCAAGCAGGCCAAGGACGCTGAAGAGCTCAAGAGTGTCATAAAGGGATGGCAGAGGCAAGAGGTCAGCATTCACATGCATACACCGTGTGTGAAGGAATCGGTCATTGGTTGTCGGTTGTGTCTCCTTTGTCCAGCTGTACAAGTTGCGAGCCCGTCGGTGTTACTTTTGTGTGTGTTTTGCACTGCTGATTGCGAGCGGGGCATTCATGAGTAAGACAGGCACCAGGGGCCAGGGGCCGCAGACGCTGCTGTGGAAAATGGCCTTTGGTAGGAACAGATAGGTAGTCGTACGTTTCTGCGCGTTGCCATGTCTCCCCTCCACGTGTGCACTGCAGGTGCATCGTTGGTATTTACGTTGATCTTTATGGTGACGGGGCAATTGATACCCACATATGTTGTGCGCAATGCGTGTCTCCTCCTCGAGATCACACTGCTCAGGTCGGGTGGTGCGTCCTTGCGATGGATGCTGGAGCTTGATGGAATCCGTCTGTCGATGCGATGAATGCAGGTGGAATCGTTTCCGTAGCGGCATTGCCATCGGTGTGTGCGCAATCATCTGCCTGGCAATGGGCATATCACTGACAGCGAAGTAAGCCAGCCCACAGACAGCAACACACGACTCTCTTCGGTCGCCCTGCCTGCGCTGCAGGGACAATCGGGATTTGTATCCTGCACTGGGCGTCTTCTGCGTGGCGCTGTTGGTGTTTTGCGTCATGTACTTCTTCAAGGCGGAGTGGTCGATGAAGGCTCCGTATGATTTCAACGACAATCCATATGAATATGTCGTGGCGCCCGGCGATCTTGGTTGGCGAGGGAAACAAAGGGAGGGAGGATAGCACACCAGCCAGCAATGGCTGCTCGTGTCTCCGCCGTGCAGAGCTTGGCGCGAAGAAGGAGACGCTGCAGCTCGGACAGGGGAAATTCAGGGTGGGTCCACGTACCTAGCCATCACACGATGCAAATTCATCGCAATATCCCCTTTCACTCAGGCCAAGCCCCGCGACAGTGAAGATATCTCCGCCGCCGCCCTCACCGACCGGGCGCTCCCCATCTCTCCACGCATAGCCCAATCGTCCGCCTCAGGCCAAGGCAGCGACGCATCGCCTGCGTCCTCGGGACGGAGGAAGCTGCATCGCGGGGCGTCCGACGAGTCCCTCGCTTCTGCGAGGTCAGCCTTGTCGGCCAGGTCGGGGGCCTCGCTGTCCTCAGGCACATCCAAGGGCAGCAAGGGCAGCAAAATGAGCAGGCTCAGCAAACTGTCGGCCTCAGCTAAGAAATCCATACTCGAGGCCTCACGAACGATTGTGCAGGTGAAACGATGGAAACAGACGTCTCTGGCGTCTTTGTATTTGTGATTTTGTGGGTGTGTAATGTGGTGTGCTGCTCAGGAACCTCCACCTCCTCCGCTGGGCATAACGGTGACGAATGTGACGGCTGGCGCGTGTCGTGTGCAGTGGAAGGCGATTGGGGAGAAGGACAAGGGAGAACCGAATGGACCCATCATTCACGTCTCGCCTGCACAGAAGAAGGGTTCAGCGTTGCCCCAAGTGTATGAGATAACCCACTTCATCGTCAGGTGAGACCATTGAAATCAAAGAGGCTACCCATCCAGCAGCAGCAGCAGCTGGATGCTGGCTTTCGTTGCAGCCTTGCGACTGTCGGCTACCGGGCGATCGACGAGGCTGACGAGACCGCCGCTTCCACGGCATACGGTGAAGACGACAGCGAAGAGCCTTTCTTTGTCGATGTCCTCACCATCAACGTCACAGCACACGGCAACAAACACTACGCAGACCTCAAGTCACTCAGGTGTGGTGTGGTAGGGGGTATGGAAATCCACACTTATAAATGTCATGAGTTGTGTGTCTGTCTGATTGATTGAATTCAGACCAGGTCGAAGGTATCTGGTTCAGATGGCTTCAAAGTAAGAGAGACACACATACACTAAAGTGATTTATGGCCTCGCCCCTCGCCATGTGTACTGTACGTACAGGAATTACTTCGGCCGCGGTCCGCCCAGCAGGCCCGTCTCCTTCTGCACCCCCATACAGCACAACGACCCCTCCTGCTTCCTGTTCTCCCCACAGCCCGCAGTCATCTCGTCCCCGCCCCTCTCACGCACAGGCCACAAGGCCACCATCCAGGAAGCCGCCATCCTTTCGCCAAACGCCACTTCACGGCAGCTGGGGTCTTCCTACGCGGGTTTCCGCCGCAACAGGGACAGCCCGACACACACGGCCCTTCGCGCCACGCTGGATCCGCTGAGAGCCACCGACCGGAGTATGTTCGAGGCGCTGAGGGCAGCCAGCTCTGGACGTGAGTACAGCCTGCCGCCGACCCTTCCCCCTCATCCACACGCACTTTTCGACACCGAGACAGATGCAGATGAGGCAGAAGCGAGGCCGATATCTGCGGGAAGACAGACGCTGCGGGCCAAGATGCGGGAGGAGGCACTCAGAGGCAAGCAGGCCTTCGTCTCGCCGCGACCGGCTCCCTCCCTCACACCATCGGAGTGGGACACCCTTCGCAGACAAGCAAAGTGACTGTGCAGTACATACACACACGTGCACGTACATACACACGTGCACATACCACAACGTTGTTGCAGCACACCACCAGTGGTCTGCTCAATGGAGTCATGCAATCCGTGATGCAATAGCATATTTGGGCTCACAAGTTTCTCGAAACACGTTCTCACGAGGAACAGACTCCTTCTCATTCAAACAGACTCCAGAATGGCCAGGAAGTGGGGGGACGAAACGATACGAATGATGACGCATGAGTGCAGCAACTTGCAGTCACTGCAATGTGGTTCTCTGACCAATCAACCGCCCGACGGCCGCAGACAACCAAGCAACACATGCGTGCAGCATGCACTGATTCTACTCTCCTGAGCCTTAAGCTTGCCACTCCGACCTTCAAGAAATCACCCAGTAGACAGATACAATTGTCACACTTGTTGCTTGTTGCTTGTTTTGGCTGTAAGTGGTGACTCAGTGATATACAGTACAACGTTAACTTTTGCTCATTCTCGCTCATTTTCGCTGAGGTAATGATTGCATATCTATGTTCAGCTTGCAATCATCAATCACTCATCCATTCACCATTGCAAAGAGGTCTCAGAAGTGAATGACTCATTCAATCATTCGTTGACTCATTCATTCACTCACTTCCTGGCCATTCTCGAGCCTGTTTGCATCATTATGGAAGGAGTCTGTTTCTCGAGAAGTGCCCTGAGCGTTCGTAAATTCGCTCTGCGAGCCGGATCGCTGACTTGTCGTTGGTTCGTTAACCTCACGGGGCTCACGTTGACCGACAATGAATTGACTTTGGATGTGTATTTGATGTAATCAATCGCATTCATTCTCGATGGTATACAGCAAGGCCGTGTTGGCTGTGAGAGTGCAAGACCCTCAGGGTCAAATCTTCGACAGCAGAGTGCGAGTCGCAGTCAAAGACGACACAACCGTTTCAGACCTCAAAGCCAAGGTAGGGAAAAAGAATCGCACTCCCAGGAGAGCGCCAGACCTTCATGGTGATTGTGCATCTGTGTGTTTCTGTGTGTCAACTGGGTGTCATCTATCCATCCATGGTGCAGGTGAATGCGAGCATCTCTTCCAATCCCGCTTTCCAGCAGCAGAAGGACGGCCACACACAGCACCTGACGGCATCTCACATCAAGGCCGGAGAGGACTACTTGGATGACGACCTGCTCATCAAGGATGGCATAGAGGATGACGACACTGTCGTCGCCTGCACCGTACCCGCGCAGCCACCCTCCCCACCAGCACCGGCACCAGCACCAGCAGCAGCTGCTGCTGCGGAGGTTGGCAGCGCAGAGGATGGTCAGGGTGGCGTCAAGCGGCCTCTCGAGGTGGCGCAGCAGCAGGAGGGTGCTGATGGTGTGCTGGACGAGGAGGATGAGTCGCTGGTCGAGCCCAGGCCGAAGCAGCCCAAGGCGAATGTCGATGACGAGGCCGACCAGGCCACTGCAGAGGAGGAGCAAGAGGAGGAACATGGAGATACGGTGAGGGGGGAACAGGGTATCTCACCATATCGGGAAGATGGCAAGACGTGCGGGCCTTTCCGGTCTTGGTTCCCTCAGGTATCCATTCGCTATGCAACTCTCGACGGTGTGAGTTCGGTGCAGACATCCCGGACGGCTTCTGTCGAGTCACTCAAGGCCCAGATCCTCGAGCAGGAGCGGCCCGCTCCTGCCGCTGCTGCGGCTGCCAGCGACCCCTCAGCGCCCACCAAGCCACCCGTACACGTCACTCGGAACAATGTGTGTGAGCTGGGGCCGCCTGGCGACTGTGTGTGGCCGTGCAAGTTCACCGAGGGCAAGAAGATCGCATGCAGACCCAACAGCTGTGACCTCCTGGCGCGATCAGAGGGTGGGCAGGGGGGACGAGGCGGCACACAGATCTGCGTACGTACGTCGCATCCGTTGTCACGTACCTGATTGTGTGCAGAGGATGCGGACGACTTTGACGAGCGGTTCTGTGCATTCTGTCGCGAGCCACTTCAGGGGCTTTGTCTGGCGCGCTCGCGCGAGGCACAGCCACACACGGCAGGTGACCCCGACCTGACGCTGGCCACTGTGGGGGGTGAGGATGCGCCGGGCGACGGCCATTTCGCTGTGGAGGACTCGTGCCCGCTGATCAAGAATGTGGGCTGTAGCCACGTGTTCCACTGGCACTGCCTGTGCAACCACTTCCAGCACACTCTGCCGCTCACAGGTGGGTTGGTTGCCCTCCACGGTCGATGCAATCATGGCTCCAACGACCCCATGGGGGACGTGTGTGTTGTCTTGTTGCATGTATGAATCTCTGCAGGCTACCGTACTTGCCCCACCTGTCAGCTCGGCTGGCGGTTCACCACACCCACCGTACCCGAGACCAGCACCAGCACCAGCAGCAGCAGCAGCTCCTCGTCATCGAGCAACAGCAGCAACCTGGCGTACGAGTTGGAGGTGTTCGCGCCATCCGCCGCACTCTGTGGCGTCGGCCGCTCAGATGCTGACTGGCAGCGCGTCACAGTCAGACTCGACTCCGGAACAGGCCGAAGGTGAGACTCGTATTCGGGAGTGCTGAAGGGTCTACTAGCTCTTGCATCGTGTGTGTGTCGGTGCGTTTCAGGAAGCTGGCGAGTGATTTGGCCGACGCGTTGGGGTTCGACGCCAGCCAGTGGGGCCTGCGTGTGCTCCAAGTCGGGACCCTGACGATTCCTCTCGGACAGCTCCCGGGGCTCTACAGCAGCTATGATCCTGTCGTGAGCAGCACACACACACACACACACACAACGCTTCCCCCATCCATGCTGGTCTGCCTGCCAGGGTCTCAAGATCCGCGAGAAGGCCAACATTTCCGTCCAGATGCTGCGCGAGGCCGCCAGCAGCAGGCCGCTCCGTGTGACGGGTTTCCTGTGCTCAGCTCGCCGACACGCCTTCAAGCTGGCCGTTCAGCTGCAGCTGCGGCTGCCGGCGGGCGTCAGGGTCACGAACCGCGCCAACGGTCTTGGCAATGGCACCAACAGAATGGAGATCGTCATCAGCAGCGAACACCGGCTCGACACACTGGTGCACAAAGTCAACAGAGGCACGGGTGAGAAAACGATGGAGGGAGGAGGGAGGGAGTGGGGAAACATGGGGCATCGGTTAATTCGATATGCACATGATTGATTGATGGATGGATGTGGTGTGGTTGTGTGTGGTGTCTGTCAGGCATCCTCGCCCAGCAGGTGCGTCTGTCGTGGCCCGAGACGGACGAGCATCCGCCCATGAAGCTGCAAGACACCAAGGGCCTCACCGTGCTGGACCTGCTTGCCATGCAGGTCGGTATGCACATCACATGCACTCCACCCCCATCGCCTGCCTGCGAGACTCTCGTGTGTGTCGTGTATGTATGCTGTATACTTTAAAGATGGCCCGCAACGATGTTGACGGTGGGACCAAGTTGGAGTTGGATGTGACGCAGGCAGACATAGAGGAGGTCAGATTCATCGTCGACATTTGGAGGTATGCTCCCCGTGCCCCTTTCGTGTGACGCGCGGGGCAGTCCCTCCGCTCCTGTCTGTGCGTGCTTTCAGTGCGTACCACCGGATGCCGTATGGCAGCGGCAGATGGACCGTCCAGCAGCTCATACAACACACCAAGTGAGTAACCACACCACACCACAGACAGAAGCACACGCTGTCCGTCTTCTCTCCCCTCGCCCGGTGTGTTCAGCTTGGTGCCGCCGCCCTCCCCATCCGTCGACATCTACGTCAATCTGCGGCCGACACTGGAGCTCGAGAGACCACCCGCATCTGTCACTGCCGCCGCGGCTGCTGGCGGTGGTGGTGGTGGTGGTGAGGATGAGTGTGGAGACGAGAATGACACAGTAGCCGAGGAGGAGAGCGGTGGTGGGCCCTCCTCGCCCCCAGACGAAGAGGGGGAGGTTGGAGGAGGACCTGCTGATGTGAGTCACCAAGAGAGAGAGAGAGAGAGAGAGAGAGAAGTCGACATCACAAATGAGTTGTGGGTATGTGGTATATGTGTTCCTGTCTGTGCAGCGCATCTTCGCGGCGTCGTCGGATTGGTCGTGGCCCGTGAGCGATCAGAGTGTGGTGAAGGTGCAGACGGACAAGGGCGTGAGCACGCTGCTGTCGTGCCTCTACGTCCTCTCGGAGAGGGCCGACAACGACACCATCAACAGACTCACTGGTCGGTGGGCGGCTGGGCGGGGGGAG